GACCGAAAAATCTTCCATACAAGCCCCAATATCTACGAAATTCTACATCATTTTGACATAAAAGTTGTTATATTTATTACTAGCTGTTCCCCGCGACTTCGTTTGCGTGAAATTTATTACGAATGAATTTCATGGATTTGAATTTTTTTGCGGAGGAACCCAATTCTTTTTCTAAAATAAAAATAAGACTGAGTTACTCCTTATAACATCAGCTATCTGCCAGTGAGTGCTGACAAAATTGGTTGAGCCATTTCGGAGAGTAGCCGAAACAAACAGAAAAACAGACAAAAATTAAAAATTGTTTTTTGTTTTTCAAAATATTTCATATAGCTGTGCCCCGCGGTTTCACCCGCGTATATCACGTGTCTGCACCGCGCGACATGAAATGACACCTCGCTCATTTAGCTCAATCATTTTAGCTAAAAAATTAGCAAAATTAATGTAGTACTTTTATCTATCGGCATATGTACGTTATACGGCAAAGTTACATTTTATCCACTCCTCTCTCTCTCTCTCTCCCTCCCGGATTAACGCCCCAGAAAGTGCCCTTAAAAAGTGTTTTTTCCAGTTTTAAAGATAACTGTGTACCGTACATGAAAAGTGTGGAGTACGAAACGATTCTTGATGAATTTTCTATCAACCTTTTATAGTAATAATAATCCTTTATTGCAGACACAAAGATCCATATTTACAAGAAAATATAATATAGCATATATATATATATATAATTTTAGTATAGCAAGAATAGACATGTTGCAATACTTCCAAAAGTCTATCGTCACCCAGCAACTTTCACCCAACATCTGTACATTGCAGTCTGTATCTGCCTATCTGCCAAACTACGCACAATAGAGTTCTTACACAAGTCAACTCTGGACATAAATGATACTATCCTCTTTAGATGGATAGCATTAAAAGAATCAACCCGAGTTTTCACGTACATTTCAGAGGCGCTACAATAGCGATTAAATCCCATTAGAAGTCTAAAAATATTATTATAAGTCACCCGTATACTATCATGTGTTTTCTTGGTATAGTCTACCCAGAGTTGACACGTGTAAAATGATTGGCAGAAAGATCTAAACAGTGTAATTTTCACGTCCGGCGACGACTTGCAGAATTTTAGGGCAATCATATTGCCTACTACACACAGAGATCTACGTTGATGTTCCACATCCGTGTCATCTTTTAAGTCTGAAGTAACAATACTTAAACTTGTCTACTATCTTAATAAATTTTCCATTAAGACGAATCTCGGGCACGCTCTGAGGTAACTTCCCTGATCTGAATATCATTATTTCTGTCTTTTTGGAGTTGTAAGTCAAATTATGTTCATATCGTCCATATCGTCAGCATAGCTCAGGCTGTTAACATATCTGTCGTCCAGTCTGAGTCCTACCGGAGATCTGCTCAGCTCCACGATTAAATCATTCATATAAGTATTGAAAAGATCAGGTGAGGTAACACCCCCCTGTCTCACGCCACAAGAAAGCTTATAGCAATCCGATATTTCACCACCCCACCTAACGTTGTTGGTCTGATTACCGTACCAGAACGCTAGGAGATCAACAACCTCAGCCGGGACACCGTTGCTAGTGTCACGGAGCTTTTTCCACAGTATTTCATGACTAATTGTATCAAAGGCACGACTTAAATCAAGAAAACAAGCGTATACAGTAGTATTCCGCTGTTTATAATAACTTATAACTTGCTTTAGAGAAAATATAGCCATATCTGTTGATACATTCGGACGAAAACCAAACTGCCCATCATCGTAATTTATGGAATTTAAGTATAACTGTAATACTCGTTCAAATACCTTGGCCAATATAGTGGCCAAAGAAATAGGCCTATAGTTTATTGAGCTCGAGATATCCCCGGTTTTATTTTTCATAATAGGAACAACCACCGTACGAATAAGTTTCTCAGGTAAATAACAATGTCTGACACAGGATGAAAAAACCTAACACCTCACAGATATGCTGGCCCGCATATAACAGATGCTCTATGCTAAGACCGTCATGACCCGGAGACTTACCCCGCTTCATGTTAGTCAAAAGTGACTCTAACTCTTTCGACGTAATTGTTACATGGTGAGTTTCAGATCCCTGTCATGACCTAGCCTTACAATTGTAATTATATTTATTTTGTACAAGATTAAACTGATTTCTAAATAAATTTGCTATATTTTTTTTACTTTTTTCTCCATCTACACTTAACGGCAAATATTTTTTATGTTCTAATTTTTTTATTTTTCTCCAAAATTCATTAAAGTTACCAGCATTTCGATGTCGGGCCAACACTTCCATTTTAATTTTGTCCTGATTATTTTAAACGTACTTAAGCGCGGCCTTAAACTCTCTACGCGAGGCAGCCATATTTTCGTAAAAATAGCCCGAAGATGGCCTACCATATTCATTCCACATTAAAAAACTTTCTCTGACCTTGACATGGATATGCCTGACGTGAAAATTCCACCCCACAATCCTTTGCCCTTTTCTTATATCATTCATATAAAAGCTACGCTCAGCTGCTACTTGCAACACACTTACAATGTCACAATATAAATCTTTTATGTTATAACAATACATTCCATGTTTACATTTTTATAATTACTCATTATATCATAAAGTTTTTATACATACGAAAGCGATACCGTTTATAGTTTTTGCGCAATCTGCCACAAAATACGAACATTTCTCACAAGATAAGAAATCTTTAATCGATTTTTTTTTTGCTCAAAGTTTAGATTTATAAAAATTTTCAACTTTAACGCAAAAATATGTATGACTAAAGTAAAGAATAGAATATGCACAAATTATTTCTTATCTCTTTTACTATGATAAAACCATTTATTTGAATAAGAATTAATACTACGATACGACTGTAACCGACTTTTGTTTCGACCGGTGATTAGAACACAAAAGCTACTATTGCGACTTAATTAGATATTTTTCTTACGCGGACTTTTTTGCAGGTTAAAATGAGTACTTTAATTATGTAGCATAATTTTAATGTATCATCAAGTTTTCTCAGCGCACACCAAATAATGAATTTTATAGGCAAAATTTTGCTACTTTGGGTTACAATTTTCTTAAAGATCTACAATTTTTTTTTGAAAATAAATTATAGCCTATTTATATAATGGAAGATCAAGATCGTTTAGTCGCTATACTCACAGTATCATAGTGCGAGCGAGTGAATAAATATGAAAGAAAGTATCCCTCGCGTAGTTCAAACAACACTTTACGTAACTATGTTTTTTATTTAAATAAATAACTAGGGGATGAAAATATCCCAAGTTGGCAACCTTTTCGCTTAAGTTTTATGAGGAATTCCTCGACTGATTGTACGTAATTTTTATTTTTTTTCGTTGTCAGTATTCATTAGTGTTTACGCAGAAGCACATTGCTGTAGTCAGTGTTGTTAAAGTGAATTCGTACTGTAATGGCTTTAAAAGAGGTAGATTTGCATCATCAGCTGTTCTTGGCCTACAAAGACTCTCATGCTGACTTGCTAGCGCAACTGTGCCAATAAAAAGCCAATGAAATTTGGAAGATGGCTGAAGAAAAACTAAAAAAATAAAGAATAGTTTCTGGAACAACAGTTTATAGAACAGTCTTCGACCAGTTCGTCCTGCCAGTACTCACATATGGCGCCGAAACGTGGACACTAACGGTATGACTACTCCACAAACTCAACGTAACCCAGCGGATGAGGGAAAGAGCTATGCTCAGAGTTTCTCTGGTGGATAAGATTCGTAACGAAGAAATCCGCCGGAGAACCAAGGTCACCGACGTAGCCTTCTGCACTTACAGGCTGAAGTGGCAATGGGTTCGTCACATTTGTCGCAGAAGCGACAACCGTTGGAGTAGGCGTGTCATAGAGTGGAGACTGCGTTTAGGTAAACGTAGTGTCGGACGCCCCCTGGCTAGATGGAGCGACTATCTGCGCAAGGCGGCTGACAGCAACTGGATGCGTGAAGTCGAAGATCGGGCTAAGTGGCGCGCCTTGGGAGAGGCCTTTGCTCAGCAGTGGACTGATATAGAACACGATTTTATACGAGAGTTCGAGGTGAAGGCCACGAAAGCAACAATGCTTAGTTATTTTACACAGCTAAGTTTACTGCCAAAATGTAATATCAAATATAGGTAGGTATATAATTAAACAAACCATGGTTTATTATAACCGCAAATGCGTTTAAAACAATACTTTTTGTTATTATAAAGGTGTTTTCGCGATTTTCTGGTAGTTTGTGACTTTTAGGTAAAAATGGTCACTTTGGTGTGGAGGGGGGGTACATAAAACGTTACGGCGAGTTACATGAGGAGGAAAAGGGTAAAAAAACTTCAAAATTAAGTTATGTAATACTTGAACGCCCCCTACTAGTAAAATAGCTAAATAAAAATCCTATTGTTGATTGAGAATTTTTTTCTACATTTTTCACGATCATATGAGCATTATGAGTCGTGCACTTTTGGATTTTCCAATTTTTTATTGACGTTTGACATAAAATTATCGGAAAATTAGAAGTAATAGTAAGAAGTTTAAGAAATTGACGTATTGCATCAGCGCTTAAGGCATACACATTTGGATTTACCAAAAGTTTTCCTTTCTTTGTTCGTCTGAAACTAAAAGTACATAATTATTCTTATCATCATAATAAAATTGAAGCTTAGGCAAGATTAGTAACCACATACACTATCGAAGTCACGTCAAAGTTTCTTATATTGCTTATATATTACAAAAGTAGAATAATTAAATAGAATATAATATGTAAGGTATGAAACATGAAAAAAAGTAAGAAAAATAAAATATAGACCAAACAATACAACCGAGACTAACGATATTATCACGGGTCAGTGAATAGTGATGGTAAAATATATGAGAATTATTATTGAATATAATGCAACTTAAATTCACTAAACATATTACAATGTATACTACCCAGTGCTGATTTTAGGTTATAAAAGAAAATAAGTAAAGAGCGAAATGTTTACCTTAACGTCTGCGAACTTGAGGTGCAGTGTGAAGGGCAGCATGGACATGAGGGGGAGCGCGGAGGCAGGCAGCGAGCGGCGAGTGAGCGCGTACGTGTAGGCCACCAAGTACTCTTGCAGCACGCGCTGCAGCCCGCCCAGCGCCTCTCGCTGGTTCACGCACAGCCACGACACCAGCTGGAATGTTGTGGACTCTTCAGTAACCCTGCTTTAGTGGTTCCCCAGTCAGTGCGAAATCATTTTTTTATACAATCAGGATGACATACGACCACGCAATCCACCTGACGATGCGTGGATGCTGCGGTCCGTAGATATCTACATTTATCCTCGGTCAAGAATCAAAATGCAGATGCGTTATCATTCCAGAGGACTAAGATGGAATGCCACGTTTCTAGTAAAAAGGGTCTCCGGTTCTCTACACTCACCATACGAAACACAACAGCATTAAGCTGCTATTTTACGCTGGTATTTTGTGAGAGCGTGGTCCTACCCCGGTTGAGCCGACCCATTTATGCTACAACTTTAATATAATGGCAGCATGGCTTTACCCGATATAAAGTTAGGGTTAATGTTCTCCACACCAAATTTCAGTCACGGCGGCGAGTCTCAACGGAGACTAGCCAAAATCGGTTATTAAGTTTTTCTGTCAAGATTTTTTTTTCTTGTTAGCGACGAATTATTTCACAGAATATTAATAATGAATTCACTTGTACATGGCCATCAAGAAAAATAGCATCAGGTTTCTTGCATGTTTGCAGAATCAATTATATAATATATATTAATATTTCGAAGATTTGTGGCGTCCGCCAACATGAACTGCAGCAGATTAAGACGTTTAACCCGTAAATTTACATACTTTTACTTAAATGTCAAAATTTTTAAGTAGATAATACTTCATTAACAATATAATGTCCCTCCAAACCAAATTTCGGTCACGGCGGCCAGCCTCAACGTACACTAACTAACTATCTGTGCAGGGCAGGATTATAGTGCCCAAGGGTACGCGCAAGCACAGGGCCACTCTTTATTCCCGCGCACACATAGTCCGATAGAACGGTAATCCGATACGACCAGATTGTTTGTTCAAAAATGGGTGACAATCTATTTATAGATAGGTATTTGTTTTTAGTTTCAGCTTTTAAAAATATACGGAAAACAATAATTATTGATCGATGTGTTTTCTTGTAAACTAAGAACACTATTTGATATGGTAATATGAAGTACATCCAGGGTCGCTGTCTTTTAAAGGTCAAATAAAAATACATTGAGACAGCTGTTACTCAAATGTTTTGCGATACACAGTAAAGTAAAGTTATTGCCTATATACGTCCTACAGCTCAGTACAGGCGTTCTTTCGTTTATGAGAGAGGCACGTTGGCGGAATTCACCTGTCTTCGAAATAAATATTTTTATTACACAGACATGCAGATATCTTTACGATTTATTTCTTGATATTGATTATACTGAGGAGCACCACGTGATAAACCAGCACTTAACTTTTAGTATGTAATTAACAAGTTCACTGGTGCTGGTGGGGATCGAATTCGGGTTACTCGCGTATTGTAACACTTACAGCTAGCGCTTGATACTTAACTCAATATAAAATGACGAAAGAGTAAAATTACACATTTTAACTTTATCATCTCAGATTGCTATAACAAAAACTAATTTATATAGCAAAACCTTCAATTGGTCACGGTTAATTCGAACGATCAAATTAGAATCATTGTTAATTTTGCGCTTCAGTTGAGCCTATTCACCCTTAAGTGAGTATACATATCGAATAACAATTACGTCGAGACAAGAGCACGTCAATATTTTGTTTACGCGAACGTTTGTGGCACTAATCTCCTCCAGTGTTACCAGTTACCAATAGTATTTAGTGATAAAAAAATACAATTATTATTAATATAACCGACCTCTTCAGCTAAATCCAGATTCCCTTCATGCTGTATCAAGTAATGTATAATAGCAAGTTTGTTTTCCACCGTCGTGTTACTCTTGAATGTCGCCACCAAATCCTTTTCAGCTACATTCATTGTAACCACGTCCAACGTATTCAAGTCTACCATGGCGTGGAATCCCCAGCCTAGCAGTGGTGCGAGGCTGGGCCCACTCTCAGTCTCTTCTACAGGAATGACGATGTGGGAACAAGGCTCATGGTGTAAACTGATGTCTATCAAATGGGTGAAGAGCATTGGTATGTTCACCAGAAGATGGTTGTCTGTGAAATAATATTTTTATATATAAGTAATGTAAAATTTATGTACTATTTTACTCAAGAGAGACATATAAAATTAAGATTTATTGATAACCATTTTTTCGGGATTTATAGCGAAAAACAGCTTACCAAATAAGTATGAAAATAAGCGTTGATTACTTAAGGAAGTTGAACGTGTAGTGGCGGTGCATGAATATTCAACGTGGTTGTCGTAAGAAGCGTAAAAGGATAAGAAACCAGGAGATGGGCAGCACTGTTTTCCTAATAACAAGTAAAAATAAAAATACTGTTATACAACACTATGAAAAATATCCCCATACGAGGCAATCTATGAGGGAGATCTATCAGTTTACATGATTATTACCAGTGCCTGCAGTGCGGTGCTTCTTGTGGATCCGCGAGTGGATCCGCGAGAGAGAGAGAGAGAGAGAGAGAGAGAGAAAGTGGGCTTTTGTTTGTCAGTGGACTTTTATAGGCTATAATTGATAGATGGGAATACATAATGTAACTCAAAATATACTAGCTGTTCCAGCAGACGTTTTTCTACCCGGTCCGTTAGGTGCGCGTTGAATTTCACTTTGAATTCACAGCGGACTTTTGTGTAAATATATAATATAATAATAAATTGACTACAGCACAACCGATTGGGTCCAGTTTTTGTGAATTGCTTTTTTGGTATTAAGTCAACGTATAATGTGAATATAAGTCACTTTGGTCTATAAAAATAAATTACTATTATTATCTTGACTACAACACCACCTTTAGGCTTATAACTATGAATCATAGTCAGGACAAAACAAATATATTGTGTAAATATGACGTCAAATCGTCCAGAAGTTACACGATTATTAACGGACGTACCAACGATTATTACAAAAGATTTAGAGACGATCCGACCCATATAACTATATCCCTTGGGAGAGAAGTAAAAATCTTGTGAGGGATACTATGTGCGTGGATTACTTCGCAGTCTCTCAATTCATGGGTACTTCATTTAGAGCCGGCTCGGCATCATAGGCGGCTAAGTTGTGTAAATAACGTAAAAACGAGTCTCTAAAAGATAACCATATTATATGTAGACTATTATTTTAAATTTATTATTAAACAACTTATAGTAAAAAATAAGCCTCTATAGGGAGGGGTAACGTCAGTTAAGGTTAAGTGATAAGGTCAGTTAAGTTAACTCTACCGCGAATACGATGCTATCTGTAATCACCATTAGCCTAAATATATACATAAACACTCACACCTGTCACCCAGAGGGGTAGGCAGAGACTACGTTTCGATTTGGCACGATCCTGATACACCTCTATCGCATCCCTTACATCCATATCAACCTATGCATGCATGTGTAAATAAAAACGGCACAATTTGCTTCTTCATTACTTACAACTTTGATAAGGTTTATGTCCAGCAGTGCACTGCTTACTGCAATGTCAACTCTTTCATAATTTGTAACAAGAAATCATACAATGTCCTCAAGTGTTCAGATCCTACAAGCTTATGTGAGATTAATATGGGCAAATCTGCCAATGAATTTTTTCCACTTACATTAATAAAACATAATACTTAATTAATAAACATAATATTCACATTTTTTATACGATATAGCGACAAGCGAGCACACATTCCACCTGATGGTAAGTGGTTGCTGTGACCCATAGACATCTACATCTATCCTCGATTACAAATTAAAATGCAGATGCGTTGTCACCCGTGAGGACTAAGATGGAATGCCTCGTTTCCAGTAAAAAGGGTATCCTGTTCTCTACACTTACCATACGAAACAAAGCAGTATTAAGCTATTAAGCTGCTATCTTACGCTGGTATTCTGTGAGAGCGTGGTCCTTCCCCGGTCGAGCCGATCCATTCGTGCTACAACTATACTATATATTAATATAAGTGCAGCATAGCTCTACCACGTATAAACATTGGTGAATCATACATAAATAATAAATGACACTTTCATTTAAAAATGAGACAAATTATACAGGTTGTGTATAAATTACCATACAGTAAATGAAAACTCGATCATTACTAGTCTGGTAGTTCAAAATAGTTATTTTGTTCATATGCGAATATAACAAATAAAATTGTAACAGTATTACTAGCTACAACACCTATTTCGTCAATTTTTTCACTCCATTTAGCCTCTAGCGGGAGAAGTATATGACAGAACAGAGTAGTTGATAGAGATATGAGAACTATTTCCACGTTTCCTACTATTTTAACAGAATTCATTTATCAAAAATAGTGTTAAAAAAACCGCCCCCAACCCCCAACCCACCAAACCCACCCCCCTGTTTTACAACTATAAAATCAATGTACTTATGTAATAAATGTATGTATAATATTCCATCATTTTCTATCTTTTAAATTCAAAACGCATAGTAAAGCTTTATTTTAACTAATTTTACTGTGCACGCACACATTCGTAAGGGTCGATCCGTAGGCAAAAACGTTGTTGGCCATAAATAACATTCGATTTGGGACAATTTCAAATAAAAGTTCGTTCGTAGTCGTCAAGTTTCGTCGTCAAGTTTCGTCGTAAGTTCTTTCGTACTCGTAGTTTCAAAAACTGCAATAATGGTATATCAAGGCGTAGCGCTGAATAGAATTTGCAGTTTTATTTAATGTATTAAACCCGACGCTATTCCATATAATTTTTAAGCATTTTCACTAGTTAATTGCACTTTTTATCAACCTGCATATTATTTATCAAGGCTTGCACTCATTAACATACCTTCGTACAGTGTGTAGGAAGGCCGGAGCGACTTGGCGAGGTTCCAGGGCAGATCCGGGACCACACTGTGCACTACACAACCATGGTGTAAAAGCGTGATGGAGTATGCAAAGTTCACGCCCGACTCTTTCAGTTCCGCGCTGTCTTCTAATACCAGGGACGTGGTGGAATCGTCTAAAGGCTACAGATCAAACAACAAATGATACTTAAGAATTAAGATGTATTAGTAAGAATTTTCAATAATAATTAAATGGTTAATAATATTATTTTATATAATAATTAAGAAAAGTGAACAAAACATATTGTAGAAGGTAGGAAACTGCTTAATATAATATCTGTATAGAAATGAAAGGGTGACAAACGAGTACATAGTCCACCTGATGAAATGCAATTAATGGTAATTAAATGGATGCTGGCCTATGGACACCGACACAATCCTCTATTAAGAATCAAAATGTAGATGAAAAAAGGAATCTCTTTTTGGGTTTAGGTTTTCGTCATTTATTACATATTCGAGCGAGGTCCTGTCCAAGTGGCTCTACCAGTTATCTGTCCAGGAATCCATCCTGGTTGGTACCACCACCTCAACTATATTTCCGTCAATCATTTTATAGGTTATAATACGGTTAAATGTTAGGTAACCAATATAATATTACAATTTTCGATTCACTTCCAATTACATCTCTTACCCGTCAATAGATGTGTGGACGCTTTTCTGATAAGCAGAAGTAGAAGAAAAACCAGAAAAGGGACTTTCAGAATACCGACGTAAATTAACAGCATTATGCTGTTTTGTTTTATATGAGTGACGAGAAGCATTTAATTGGTAACGAGGCATCTAAGCGAGGCATACCATCTTATTCCTCAAAGGTAACAACGGATCTGCATTTTAATTCTTAATCAAGGAGAAGGATGTCTATGTGGATCGGATGGACTATGTGCAAGTTTGCCAGCTACTTCTATAAAAAAAAATTACAAGTTCCATAAAGTGGCGTACATACCCGACAGCGGACTGACTACTGATCCGACCTAACCTTCTGTCACGACACGACAGTTCAGGCTCGGGGCTGATTCCTTCGCCCGGACAATCCCTTCGTGTGTCTCTGCTCACCTAGTGCCGAAATGCAGGCGTACCTTGTAGAGGTAGTGGTGGCAGATGGCGAGTAGACCGCGCGCATCACACACTATGTGCAGGTCGAGCCCGCAGTCGTGCACGCGCAGCGGCAGCGGGTCGTCCTCATACGAGCCGCACGCAGATCCAGCGCCCGCCGCCGGCCCCAGGCTCAGCGGAATGTTCAGCTAACGGAGTATTACCGATAATCACAATTTTTTTTTTAAATAATATATTCAAAAAGTAATGTTACCGCCTTTATACGGCTGGGTACAAGCATAGTAAAACATAATAGTAGGATGAAAAGCTAATTTTATTAAACAAACGCCTATATTAATTTATTTTACAAAAAGAAAAAATAATCTTTTATAGAAAGAGGACGTACACGAACATGCGATTCACCTGATGGTGCAATTGCAACACCAGAGTTTACTGACTGCCCAGGCAGTCGATGTTCTGTGATATCCGATGATTATTTGTCTTATAAAAAATCATTAAATTCGCAATAAAAGGACTCAGGTGCGTTGTAGTTTAATAAAGTAACTTAATTTTTTTTACCTTTAATTTGGAGTGAATAAAAATAAAGCTACGACAACGTATAATAAATAACATTCACTTGTTCAGAGATAGAACATCTGTGCAAACAAATATAAAATTAACTTTTACAAATTCAAACTATATTAAAATACTTCACTGTTCACGGGGATCGTCGTGAGTCCCCTCTTTCGAGTAAAGAAACAGCAACTTAGGCTCCGCAGATACCACCTCAGGATTACTTCATATGTTAATGGCAAGTTAGAGATAAACATTTTTTTCGCAGCGTCGCAGAGGTGTTTCACATGCATAAATCATACAAGGACACACGTCGAGACAGAAAATTTATAGACCATACAAACACTTAAATCTGCTCGATTCAAACCAGCAGCCTACAGCACCGCAGTCAATAGCTCAGCTAACACGCTACCATAGTACATTAGATCTACTTTTATTTTTTTACGTTTCACTACTTTAATAATGTTATGCGCAACACTGTATGTAAAACGGGACGTCCTCCCGGACTAACAAGCCATGAATAATATATAGAGACGAGGTCAGCGAGCGACGCAGGTGAACTTATACGCCATGCCATAATCTTGCTAATGTGATAGGGTGACTGATATGTTACCATCCATTTTGTCTAAAAGAAATTACCAAGTGAAATTCTACGCACGCAAGACGGCAGATTGATGAGCGTTAGGTAGCGGTAGTGTGGTAGGGAAAAGCGTATAACAATATACTAGAAATTTTCTGCTGTTCCTAAACATGGGGATGTATAAAGGCCATAACTTTAACTTTTAACTTTAATGGTTTTAAGTGGGTTTTTATACGAAGTGGCACTTTGCGATACTATCGTCATCGAGTGTATACTAGCTCAAGCTGCCGTCGAATTCTCCCACCATCTTCCAAATTAAAAAAAAACTTTATACATAGTAACTATTATTGCTTGTAATGTAGGCCATACAAATTTAGCCCCTCAGCGCCGTAACTTAATGCTAAGTCAATGCGCCACGGAGAAGTCAAATATTGTGAATAAGTTTTTTTTTAACAAATTTAATATATGTCGCGCCTCTGTGGGTAGTCGGAATTATTGTGAACAACACGTGCACCGCAACCCTGCGCATTGCATACGCAGTGGCGCTCGTGTAGCTACTTGTCTCGATTGTATAAAACGGACGGAGCGGCCGCCGTTAAAGCAGTCATGGCTCTGGCGTGGCGCGGTTCACTTGTTGTATCCTGCTGCTAGCTTATCCTAGACTGTTCGGATAATTGATTCATGGAAACGAATTAACCATTATTATCAGCTATTAAATTAGTCTCAGTACAATTTATAGATTACCTGTGATCCGTGTATTTTGTGATTGTAAATTAATTCTATTTAACTACCTTACCACATATATTTATATTAAGCCATAGATATGTAAATAGCATAAGTGGATGGTTTTTTTTGTATAAGACGATTATTTACAAGTAAAAATACGAATGTTTCAATAACAAATTTTCCTCTACATTCTTTTAAGAGTCAAATTAAAATATCATGTTTTATAATTTTATTGAAAAATCGATCTGGGTAGGGAAGATTTAGGCTAGGTTCAGTGTTTACTGCTGTAAACAACAAACGACCAAACACGGAGCTCCGCGGGCTTAACTATGACAACACGCGGAGCACTCCATGATCAAAGCGAAGTATTTCTTGGACAGCTTACCAGATAAGCTTTTGGATCACCCTCATTACAACCCTGATTTGGCAGTTTGGCACCGTGTCACTAATGTTTATTCCTTAAAATAAAAATGAAAAATCATCCATGCATCCATGATCACGGGGAGAGTGTGGTGTTTCACGCCCTGATGTCTTATCCGATATACGCAGACCTAGTTTACAGTATTTTGATTTCATGCAGACGGTAACCCCCCAGTTGTCTATTGAAATTTGAATGTTTTATAATTTCAATAGCCTCGCGTATAGGCAATAACCAATTCAATTTTTTCGAAGATTTTGTGGTTTATCAAATTTGATGTAATCTGGCGGAACGATCTTAACATGTTCTGGCTGCAGACTTCCCTCTTTATTCGTTTTTATTTAAATATAGAATAAGGGTAACAAACGAGCACACAGTCAACCTGTTGGTAAGTGGATGCTGTGGCCCATAGACATCAACAGTTATACTCGATTAAGAATCAAAATGCAGATGCGTTGTCACCCTTAATGACTAAGATGGATTGCTTCGTCCTCGTTTATGGGATTATAAGTTCCCGCTTCAAAATTATCAAAAAAAATTGTTTCAACGAGGGCTGACCCAAGGGTGAGATGTCAAGCACATAACAGAGACAAAAATATAGATTTTTTATATTTAAGGTAAGTTTTTTTTTTTATAGAAGAGGAGGCAAACGAGCATACGGTTCACCTGACGTTAAGTGACTACCGCCGCCCATGAACAACTGCAACACCAGGGGAATTGCTGGTGCGTTGCCGGCCCTTTAGAAAAGAGTAAGCTCTTTTCTTGAAGGTCGGTCGAGGAAAAATCGCCGGTGGTAAACTATCACACAGAGATCGTACGCGGAAGAAAACTCCTTGTGAAACGTACAGTGGTGGACCGCCAAGCATCCTGGTGTGGATGGTATCGGGACGTTTGCCGCGTAGTGCGTCCACGAAATTTGGCGGCTGGGATTAATCCGAACAATTCAAGTTTAAGTTGCATGCTCAGAGGGAGAAGTGGAGACGTTGGGCTCTATAATAGTAATTCTTATGACAACAGGACATAGCAATAATTACAATATAATCATATTAATATTTTTAGCCCTCTTGTTCAGTTTATCAAAAAAAATGATCGTTTTTTTTTCCTTGAATGGTAAATTGGCCAGTTAATAGGGATGTAGAGTACATGTGTAAACGAACGATATCTCGTAAAACTACAATAGATTGGCTTTATTGTTTTTTTTTCTATTCAGAATTCTGAATAGTTAAACACACAATTACAGTCCTAATCGTTTTTATAATTATTAAAGTGATAACCGACGGAACATTCTTCTATTTTTCTTTCTTCTTTTTTTTCAAATAAATCTTTTTGTTGCAAATGTTGGAATATAACCAAATGAAAGTGATACCTAATGCTATCCTATTGTTACTACAAGAGCATAATTTGTGAAGTGTCATTGGATTTTCCACATTTTTTAAATATTTTCGCAAATACTTTTAGGTATAACATTTAACAATGTTAAAAACGTCGATTGGTGTACGTAAACGTAGATGAAAAACATCCACTGCTATGGGTTAATCCGCCATTTCTTTATTCTATCAGACGAAGCCATATACTATAGTTTTTTGCCTAATGAATAAAACATTTATAGTTTTATGAGAATATTTCCACATAGGAGTTAGGGACATTCAAAATGCTAAAATAATACAAAAACACCATCATTACGAGCTAGACAAAGCATAAGTAGAATATGAAAGAAGATTTAGTACTTGAAAGAACGTTAGCTTCGCAGTATTTTCGAACTGAACAGTAAATGATCTGTTTTTGACTATTCTTGTAATGTACCCCTGAAAACTGAAACTTTTACGTTTCCCCAGATACTGTTGCTTGTAAAAATTTTATGACTTCATGATAAATGATTTTTTTTAATTTTTAAAAAGAATAAATTACTTAAACCATATGACGAAAATATTTGACCTGGTCGTGTGATTATAGTGCGGATAATTTTATGCGAAAATATCAAACTCGGTTCCAAATAGCCTCGCTTATAAAATTTGAAGCAGGAAAAAGGTTTGAATATTAGGTTAGTTTAAAACTGAGGTGGCAGACAAAGTACAGCCCACCCACTGTTAAATGACCACTGCAGCCGATGGATACTTGCAGCCCACTTTCAAGCAAAGGAAGCTACAGATGCGTTAACACCTCAAAAATTTTTTTCTTTATATCAGAGGGGGCAAACGAGCTTGCGGCTCACCTGATGGTAAGTGAACTGAAAAGTACTGAACTGAAAGTAATGAACAACTGCAACACCAGGGGAATTGCAGGTGCGTTGCCGGCCTTTTAAAAAGAAGTAGGCTCTTTTTCTCTTTTTTGTCATGAACTTGGCAGGCAGATGATAAGAGCAGCTTTATATTATTTTTAGATTTCATCATGAAGATGCAATTGCCCACGTCCTGTTTATTTTACTCCGTCGCCTCTTGCGACACTCACGGGATGATATCATACAACATTTTGTTTTTAATGGTTCATAACTCTAATTCTACTAACATTCGAAACTACGTTTCTGACGAATAATTATTTATTTATTACTTGAGACATCTATCCTTGCAGGTCGCACCCAATGCGATAGGGTCCTCCTAGCCTCTTTTTTATTATAAACTAAATCTTACACAAATAATATTAAAACAAATGTAGCTCAACAAACTAAAAAGAAAAAATTGGTTGACACTGCAGAACCCACACACACACACACATACATACATACATCCGTACGGATGTCCACGTGAAATTAGTCAGAATAGCTTTCTGAGATCTCAAAACGTCGAGATCGATTTTCGAAAATCGGGGTGATACCAATAACTTTCAATTTTGAATTTTCTTAACGGAAAGTTTAAAAAATATATTAATAAAATTAAACAAAAAATAAAAACCTTTAACAGTAAAAAAATATATAAAAATCAGCTAAAAAAATACAAAGAAATTTTTTTTAGTTGGTTTTTTGAGAAAAATACTCTAACAGTGACATACAATATACAATATGACCTTTGCTAATTCACTATAATAAAGTGTCTTATGTCCAATTTGATGCATAATTTTGAAGTATTACATTTAACCTGATTTCTGTGACTTATTCACATCTACATCTATCCTCGATTAAGAATCAAAATGGAGATGCGTTGCCACCCCTGAGGACTAAGATGAAATGCCTTATTTCCAGTATATAGGGTCTCCGGTTTTCTACACTCACCACACAAAACACAGTAACGTTAAGCTGCTATTTTACGCTGGTATTCTGTGAGAGCTTGGTCCTTCCCGGTCAAGCCGACGCATTCGTGCTACAACCATAATATAGTTGAAGCTTGGCTCTAGCACGCAAAAAATTATTAGTATTTAACAGATATATAATTTAAAAAATATTTTTAAGTAAAAAGGGAGAGATTTTGACAAAAGTGTAGGATACACTATAGCAGCTTCAGAAAAAAAATAGTTACTACAACAAACTTTCATACCACAGTCTCGTGAGGCAAATCGACGTGAAACTGCAACGCAGAGAGCGTAGGCGTCATTTCACTCGGCGATTTGACTTCTTCACCTTCTGCGAAGCTCTGCGCTGGCTGACGGTAGTGAATGTAGAACAGCACCTGAAACAGATTTTGAGGTAAAGTACAGAACCCTCATAAATGATATGAATAATAAACTGTCAATGAAATTAATCTTTACGGACTCTACAAACTCTACATATGCTAACATCCATAATATGTCAATATTATGTATGCACTTCACTCCTAAAACCAACACAAACATACGTTATTTTATTCACATAACACTTCTGTTAAAAAAATTATCACTTATTATAACGCAATCCTAATGTCAATGTTTGCCATATATTCAAGAATATTTCCAAACATCCCTGAGAATAAGTCATAAAAAATAAATACTTTTAAAATTCAATCTTCCTAGTGAAACAGTCATTGATGAGATTGACCAAGTAAGCGAGGTACGGTATATGGGCTTGTCTAGTCCTTCCTTTTGTAGAGATGTAAAAAACTTGTTTCCTTTTTATATATTATGTGTTAATATACGAAGTCTCAACTGTAATTTAGACGCTTTTCTAGTTTTCATGTCACAGTTGAATATTAATATAGACAGTGTAGTTTTTACTGGATGTTGGTTAAAAGATAATTCCATAATACCGGAAATAGATACTTACACATCATACTATATTTACGTTCATTTAACCATAATGACGATGTGGTAGCATACGTTAAAAATAACATAAGCACCACATCATACGAACCAAAAGCTGATGATGGCAATGTGCTAATACTGACTGTTGATACAGACACTATGGTTATCAGTACATATAGATCACCAAGTTTTCACAATACAACGCAGTAAGTATATCACATCACTTGATGAAATACTTCATAGCACAAATACAAGTATCGTAGTCCTACACTCATCTAGAGTCACAAACACTGATAGGACAACGGACGGAACACAGCGAGTCCGCAGACGGGCCCGCCGCACACTCCTACACACCGAGTACACACCGTACACCCGCGTCCCTGTGCGGTTCTCACCACCCAGAACACCGAACGACACGAGAAGATTTACTTTTTCATTCTTCTAGGCACATCGTTCAACAGAAGACGCTGTTTTACAGCTGACTACAAAAATAACATTTTATGTAGACAAAGGTGATAAATGCATATGTGTTTTCTTTATACTTGCAAAAACGTGCAAAAAGCGTTCGATGCTGTGACTATTCCTACACTTCTCGGACATCTCGAAAATTTGGGTATAAGAGGTATGACATCATGGTTTTGTAACTGCTTTATAAACAGAACCCAAATATTACGTGTTGGTGACCAGCTAAGCGATAAAGCCGAATGTAGTCATGGTGTTCCGCAGTGCAGCATTCTTGGACCAATACTATTTTTAACGTACATAAATGAATTATGTAAAATTAACACTCTTTCATGGTAGATACTGAGATATTGTACAGCATTGTGCTGAAAATGGATTAGGTACGGTCACAAAATGGCTAGAAAATAATCTTTTAACAGACAATTGTTGAAAAAAACAAAATATATCTGCTTTTACAAAACCATAAGCTCAAGAACACCACACAGCCTTTCTATTACCATGCATACGTACCCATGTAATACGTTCCAAAAAAGGAGAGATGTAAATGTACAATATAAGAACGAACATCGATAAAATACCTTGGAGTAATCCTCGACGAAATATTAAATTGGCAACCTAATATAGCAAATGTATCTAAACACATTCGGAGACTCACTATAGTATTTAAGAACCTAAGAACTATAGCGATTAAAAAACTGCTATATTAAGATATATAACGCCCTTTGTCATTGTCTCATAAATTAATGCATCTGCTCATGGGGTGGAGCTCCCAAAACATATCTTATATAAGCCGAGCGAGCTCAAAGATCAATATTAAAACTAACATCTTTCTTGCACATACCCAACATCTAAAGTATACGAATTGGCAAATATCCTTAGTGTAGGAAAATCGTATATAATATGTAGTATACAAAAATGCATAAAACGATAACATAACTTTTCTCCGGTATATATAGTTAAAAACAAAAGAACACAAAATGTACCATTTGTCAAAATCGCTTTTGCAAAAAGGCAATATGACTAACAAGCACCTCATTTATATAATATTATTAATAAAAAAATTAAATTAAATAACTCAAAAAGTCAACAAATTAAACATAAACTATTTTAAATTGGCTAAAAGAATACGACTACGAAAATTATGAAAACCTACTTTAAGTTATGTAATTACACATATTTTAACAAAAACAGACACATGTACGAGGGTGGATTGAAAAGTACTCGGCCTAACCAAGAAAATAAACACATACTAAATCAGTTATATTTTTATTTTTCTACATAATCACCATCAAGTTCAATACACTTTTGCCACCTCCCCTTCCAAGCATTTAGACCGATGAAAAAAAATGATTCTTCCTTAGAGTCAAAATATGCGTCTACAGCTGCTTTGACCTCGTCGTTTGTCGAAAATCTTTGACCTCCCAAGTGCTTTTTTAGGTTAGGGAACAGAAAGAAGTCTGATGGTGCCAGATCAGGTGAATACGGCGGATGCGGTAACAGTTCAAAGCCACAGTTGCGAATTTCAGCCATTGACTATACTGACGTGTAAACACGGGCGTTATCTTGATGAAACAGGACTTTTCTTCTGAGCATTCCTCGACGTTTTTCTTTTATTTCCTCTCGTAAACGACGTAGTAAGGTGCAGTAGTAATCAGAGTTTATAGTCTGACCCCTTTCAAGATAATCAATCATAATCACACCTTTCGAGTCCCAGAATACTGAAGACATCACCTTATTTGCCGACAAAATCGACTTAGCCTTTTTAGGGGGTGGTGAACCAGGTCTTCTCCACTGTTTTGATTGTTGTTTTGTTTCCAGTGTACAGTAATGAACCCATGTTTCGTCCATAGTAACAAAACGATTCAAAAAATCATCTGCATCGGCTTCAAATAACTCCAAACAGTCGCGTGAAATAGTCAATCGCGTCCTTATTTGTTCAACTGAAAGCAGTCGCGGAACCCACCTCGCAGACACCTTGTGGAAACCCAACTCGTTGACAATGATGTTTTAAGTTCGTTCATAAGAGATGTCTATAATCTCGGCTATCTCTCTAATTTTTAATCTGCGATCTCCCATTATTAAATCAAGTACTTTTTAATATTTTCGTCAGTAGTTGACGTCGAAGGCCTTCCAGAGCGGGGTTTATCTTTCACACTCTCTCTACCACGCTTAAATTCTGCTATCCATGTTTTGACGGATGAATATGATAGAGCACAATCGCCTAATGTACTGACCATGTCATCATAGATGGCTTTTGATGATAGCCCCTTCTTATGGAGGTACTTAATGACGGCACGCTGCTCGATTTGCTCCATTCGCGGAAATTATGTCCGATTACTTTGTTAATAAATTTATAAAATCACAACTAATTATTGCACACGTTTTGAACTTCACACAATGAACTAGTCTGAACTGAACTAAATAATGTGGGTAGATTTGATTTTTAGAATTGAATGGATCTGTGTTAGGCCGAGTACTTTTCAATCCACCTAGGTATGTGTCCACACACACACACACACACACACACACACACACACACAATTTTGTTTTGTTTGGACTATGTTTAGTGTGTTTTGAACATGGAAAATAAAATAACCTAATGGGAGGGAAACTGCCTCCTAACATACAGGGTAACCTAGTTTAGGAGTCAGGACATCTATGAATTGTATATTAAATTCTGTATTCTATAAAGAATTATTATTATTATGTTTAGCTAATTGTTTGTTGGCTTGTTGCCACTTCAGCATGTAAATCATTTTTCTCTAGTCTTAACGGCTCAATTGTATCCATCACCACATTTCGTCGCCCAGAATGATCTGACTGAGACCGGGAACAGCGAAGGTGTGAGACGGCAGTTACTGCAATCGCTAATCTGCCTTGTGTGATGATATATAAAAAATCAAAACTCCTACAACTGAATATACCCATGTCCAGCAGTAGACATCTACGAGCTGATTAAGAAGAGAGAAGATTGCTAGAAAAAGCAACATGCCTCTCTCATTGTAACCTTTTCTACATTACATGGCGACCCTGCCAGAATTTGCAAGTACAAAGTACTATTACACCTCATATGACCAGCTGTAAACAACCATGTTTCGTTTCCGTAACTCATTACTGCCAAGCAGGATATTATAAAAACAGAAATGTTGTCACCTGATTGACGCAGTCCCATTGTGCCCAGGAGAATACTTTGACGATAGTTTCTGGTTCAGGGTAGATGCCATCAAAACCCCATCTCTCAGTGCCATCGTCACATTCATTCAAAAACATTGGTGTCCTATATATCTTGATGTCTATTTGTTAAAGTAAGAAATAATATCAATCGTCAATTTGTGCATAAATAAAAATTAGAATTAGCTGTGCTCTCAGCTAAAGGGTGTATGAACTGTTGAACAGAAAGGTTTGGATATTTTTTTCAGTTACCAAATACCAGACTCGGAGAATACCAGTGTAAAATAGCAGCTTAATGCTGTTGTGTTTCTTATTGTGAGTGTAGAGAACCGGAGACCCTTTTTACTGGTAACAAGGCATTTCATTATAGTCCTCAAGGGTGACAACGCATCTGCATTATTCTCATTCTATATTTCACATCTATTACAAGATGGATGTGTGCTCATTTATCACCATTACTCTATAAAAATCAGTTAGTGACAACACATCTAGATACATCTAGGTATAGATGTGTTGTGATTTTATAGATAGGACAGATCTCTTTTCTTGACTAGGACTGGTTAGATACTACCCTCGTACCTATTTCTACCGCCATTACAGTGCTTGCTCTGCTGTCTGAAGGTTATAGAGAGCCAGTATAATTACGGGCAGCATTTTAGTCCTCAGACGTGATAGCGGACTACAGATGAGTCCTTCTTTGTATGAAATTGGCTGAAAGAGTTAATGGACTGCAATAACCACTCAGATGTACTGAAAGTTAATGTCACTTCAGTTTATAAGTAAAAAATGATTTCAATATTTGAATAATGCCATCAGGCATAATATGCATTTAGTAATGAAGTAAAAGAAATTACCCTGGCACAATAACTAAGTTAACCACAAGCCCATTTCATTCCATACTCAGTGTAAAATCTCGCATTTTCCAAAAATTTCATAATTATTACATATTTGCAAAATTTTAAATGTATTAAAATCAAGTATTGTGTTAACATTGAAACAATAACTGGCTGAGTTTAAATGTTCCATACTTGGACATTTATTTTAAAAATCTCCTTTTTTAGGAGACTGTATAAGTTGCCTCTTAGCCATTTGTCACCTACTGTTGTGTTCAAGTATGAAGGATAAGAAAATTAATATAATAACATGCTGTGAAGCAATTCATCTAGTGCTTTACACACAGTCCATAATGTTGTCACATTTCACCAAGGATGCAGTGCTAAATATAGCATTCATACTATCGTGCATACATATAACAGTATAGCCAGATTACATGTCTTACATCTTAAGTAATGCATGACTATGATCATGCATAAAGTTGGTTTTTCTTTCAATTAGTGAAGCAGGGATTTCATTATGTAGGAAAGCTAGCTCAAAACACCCTGAGCATGGATCCTATACAAGCCTAGCGTTTGGCTCCTAGTTTAGATATATACATAAAGGGTTGTTAGTCATAAAGTGCACTAATGCGGTTTCAGGCGAGATTCTATTTTATTAGTATAAATATTTTTCTTTGGTGGTATCGGGCGCAGGTTTAAGAGGCAAAATATAATGGAGAATATATTTGAGATACGAAAATTACGAAATATATACAGTATATAGCCAATATATAGACCAAAGCATTACTTCAAATAAAAATATTAAGCACATAAGTGAAATACTTACATTCCAAGTGCTTGAACAATAAAAATCGATCATTCCTAATACCAGGGCTATATTTATTACTTTTCCCATATATATATTGTACCATTATCTGCCTATTAGATCTTTCTTCAATTTCCTCGGGGACGCTTACTTTATCAGGAAGCAAAGATATCAAATATGGACAATACAAAGCTTCTTTAATGTTGTCATCTCCTTTAGGGAGTATTTTAACAACATAAATCAGAAGGCTGTGCGTAGAATTCACAGAGGCTTGTATTATATTTAACTTCTCATCAAATGTATGTAATACGGTAAGAGTTTTTGTGCTATTTGTATACGCGCCTATATTCATTACTTCCCCCTCATTTTTCTTCGACACCCAAGTAAAAACTTGAGATCCATCTTGCTCTTGGCCTATTAAACGCCATTCTCTTGCTGTTATCTCTGCAAATATTATATATCACGTTAGTAACCATCATCAGAAGTGGGTGATGAAAAATAATACTTTTGACGTACCTTCTTGGCTTTGCGCTTGAAGCACTCCACATAGTTTCACAGCAAGATTCTGTTGTGCCATTTTAAAAAGTAATAAAAGTTCACCTGTTCATCACAAAATACTAATATATAAAAGTATTTCAATATTCAAATGTTATCAATGTAGATAGCGTTCCTCTTATTGACTTTTCTTGTCGGTTTTCTATCAGCTGGCGCCCAGCTGTACAGCGAATTGAAGATAGTTGTTTTCAGGAACACCAACATACGACAGTAAATAAGCTGCCACGCATAATGCCAACATTAAAATATTGCGCTGATTAGCTTAATTCACCAATCAAAAACGAGCATGCAGCTTCAATCCTAAAATCCGTTTCACGTATAAAACTTAATATTATGTACATATTAATTTACATCTATTGCTTATTCTCCTTCAAAAATATTTTAAAAATAAAAAAGTATTTTTGCTATTGTTTACTTCAAAATAAACATTTCCTTACATTTTAGAAAATTTTTATCATATTATTTCAATGAGATTGGTTAGTAAATAACTTTTATACTGTAATTATTATGAAATTTGTACATAAAAATCATCTTTATTATGGTTTCAATTACCAATTATATTTTAATGGAAAAATTAATTAGTTTATAAAAGTAGTAGAAGTTAATATAAAAGTCGTGTAAAGGAACGACAAGGGTAATGACGTACGTTTTCAGAAGAAACAAACGTGAAGCTATCTACTTACTCACCCCTGGAGGCCAGAAGTTTTACCGCGACATTTTCGCGCGGAAAGCCGGGCGTTATCGAGCCGTGGAAAGCTAAAAAGAACCGTATAAATATAGATAATTAACCTTTAGTGTAATATTTTTTCTCGTTTTTCATTCGTATTATATCTTGGATATAAAATTAAGTGGTAAAAATAGTGAAATTGTGTGCTAAATTGAGAACTGATTTCTCATTCATAAGGATTTTTTCTTCTGTGGAATTTGGAATAATTTGTGAATGACCAGGTATGTTATGAGTTATTCCTTGAACTCTCGAAAATGTAAGGTATCTTTTAATATGAAAAATTATATTAGTAACTTAAAATATCGTTCAAAATTAGGTTATAAAGCCTAGGTGGACGATAAGCTAAGCCAATCGTACTGTCAACGATAACCCCTTTAAAAGGGCTTTTATTGCGATTTTTGATGAAATATTTGTAGAAATTATTTATATGACATTAATAGTCTACCACGTATGTGCTATTTTTATCAATTTCCTAAAGTGGATGGGGCGAGAAACCCAAGCTAGCGACGTGTCTAATGGCGGTGACGGAGGATTTCGCGCGCGATTATGACGGATTCGTGGCATTTATTTTACCAGCTGACTTACTATTTTTCATACTTTTATGATTTCAACGTGTAATTAATGTATCCTTCTGATAATAAAATAAGAAAATAATGATTTTTTCTGCCGATTACTATTTCAAAAGAGCTCCTGAAAAATATTCTCCCGCCAACCAGCAGGGGGCACGCTGTCCAATCGTTAGTCGAAAAAGTAATTTTTAAACGTTAAATACATGGATTTTCTATAAATAATCTTTTCTAAAATGTGAGAACTTTTGTAAAACTCTCATAAGTTTGTAAAATTTGGCCTCAATTATAATTGTCAATCGACATAACCCTATTGCGGTTTCAAGATGACATGCGGTAATTTTAGGCTTATAATCTAATTATTTTAGTAATTTATTGTATCTTAACTATTATATGTTAAATAGTGATCATGTTTTAGGCACTGTGGATCCTGTGCCAGCTGACCTGTCCCAACTACAATGGCTCAAACAGGGTATGTATGAGTGTTACTTAGTAGACACTAACCGACATTCATAAACATAATTAACACTGAAACATATGCTTGCAGTTCCTCCTGTGAAGCCAATGAAAAGCGGACATGCCTTAAACGGAAGAGAAATTCAACAGACGATGAGGTAATTGTGTAATTATTTTTTATTTGATTATTCATTATTAAATCAGAGACTAAAATTACAAAGTAACTTATTTCTCTATAGGAGGTGGAGAACATGCCACCGGTGAAGAAATCACCAACAGCTGCTGAAGAAGCTATTGACCAGCCAACACATAATGTCGTTGTTGAATCTTCATCATGCTCCAGTGATGAAGAGGGCTCTCATTTTGAAAGTACTGAGCAGCCAAGAAGTGTATACACAGACATAGAATATAACCCTGATAGTTTGTTAAGCCCACCAAGTATACCTGAACTTCCTAATTATGTTCTGAGCCCTTTAGAAAATGTTGCCAGGGGTGACTCTACACCACACTCTAACAAAAGGCCAAGGTGAGTTAATTTTGTCCAGTAGCTTTGGTTGTATTTGGTATTAGTGTGAATAGCTTTCTCTACTGAGTCTCTTTTTATTTTTTAATTTGTAAACCATACAACAATATAGGAGGCTCTTAATAAGCAACAAGACCATGTACCACCTAAGAAATTTTACTTGCAGTACAAGTAAATTCCAGTGTCCCTCACCACCAAAACGAAAATGTCCGCTACCAGGGCTCTCCTGGGCGGATCCCAAAGATGTATGGCAAAGTATGTGTGAATGTGATGTCAGATCCAGTATGAAGAAAAATCCTAATATGTTTGACAATCATCCAAATCTTCAACCAAGGATGAGAGCCATTTTACTGGACTGGTTGAATGAGGTAAGCAATGCCCTATATTTTTAAAACTAATTTTTCAGTAAATAACTCTTTTTCATTTCCATTAGTTTTTTTACTGCACTATCTCCTATATGTTTATTTCAGCTTAGCCTAATGATTGATTGGGAGAGAATGCCTTGAGGCATTAAGTCTACTTTATGTACTTTTTTTTTATAAAAGTTTAAATAAAATGTTTAAAAAACATGGATTATTTTTACTAGGTTGTATCAATCCTTTTCTACCTAGGACTCCATCTGGATAGATACAAATCTGTTACCTATTTCCGACATGAAATAGCAGTGTTTACACGGCTGCTTTTCAGTTTTAAAGCTACAGAGAGCCAGTATAATAGGCTGTTGGGCATTCCATCCTAATACTTAGAAGTGACAGTACATCTGTAGTTTTATTTTATAGTAGTGTCCACAGACTTCAGTACTAACTTGCTATCAGGTGGAATGTGAGTTTGTATGTCACTTCTGTCTAATAAAATATGAAATCCTAATATACACATCAATCAGTAATAATATACATCAATCAGTAACACTGTATGTATACTGCTAGTAAAATTGTCTTATTATATTTACAATATATTGCACACTGTTGGCATATAGGGGACTACTTTTCTTACATGTAAGATATTTTGACTTTGATCCTTTTAAATAATATGTTCTGTGCTATACACTAATTGGTTTGTCTTTACTACATATCATATTTGATAGCTCTTATGTACCTACTCTCCTGTTATATTAACATTGAAATTAGTCATTGCTTCTATCACATAGAAATAATTTATTTTATTTCCATGCTGCTTAGTACAAGATATAAACAGGAAAGGTGAGTATTTCGACGTATTCCATAGTTCGACATTAGTAGTGACATTATATGCAGTTTTTTTTTAAATTTTACGTATAATAAGGGAGGCACAAAATAAACTGTTTATTTTGTGACTGTGATGTAACAGTAAGGGCAATGACCTCTTTTTTGCTATGTAATAATGACCTCTTCAGAACCATCGCGTTTGCAATCGTTTTGCTGCGACGTGTTTTTATCCTTTTTTCATAGTTGCACCTGAACGTAGCTAGTTGCAAACATCGCGGTCGTTTGGCTTTGTTGAACTTTTTTTGCTTTTGTTTGCTCCCGCTTAACTGTGATCAAAATCATACCCACGATATTTTTTGAATAAGAAATAATAGTGTAAGAATCAGAGCTGACTTTTTGTGTGTTGTTTTTGTTTACATGTTTAACGGATTTTTAACAGTAAAGACGTCTCCCCCAAGAGTCGCACAGGGCCTCAGTGCTTTATTGATTTAAATAAATTCCAACAACTCACTTTCGTCGATCGTAGTAAGAAATTGTTTGAATAATCGATTAGGCCCGGGGACCACAGTAGGTACCTACCACATTACTTTTTGCGACGTATCCTTTAAGGGGAAATATAACCTCAAATGGCTTAGCAAGATGTTCCTCCATTATGCCGAAAATATTGCAGCATTAATTTTGAAATAAATATATGGTAAAGTTAAGGATTAATGTTAAATAATAATAGTTAATTAAATAATAAATGTTAGACGAAAACACGATTCCGTAAAATTTTCTCGATAGAAAAAAAATCCAAAGTTACCTCCAAAATAAACCGCTGTTATTCATAAAATATTTTAAATAAGATCATGAAACTTTGCGTACTAACTGAACAACTATAAAGCAGTGCTTATGTTATTTACTTTTTTCAAAATACCATTATTTTCACTGTAAAAAGAAATTACCTAAACTATTGGCCTCTTGAAGCTTGATTCCTGCCGCCCGGTCAGTTTCGCTTCGGCCTTTGAAGGGGGAGGTTGTGTCGCTTACGATCAGAATACATATTACGTAACAGCACGACGTAAAATTAAAATGGGAAATAACCCTAATAAAAATAAGAAGCGACTGGGTTGGCGTTAAGAACCAGACATAAATATCATAAACCTAATGAAATAAGTATCTAACGACCTATCTACTTACGGTATTAGTGATTACAAACATGTCGGTACATAGCATACGACGCGCGGAGAAGTGGGGGCGAATTTAGAATTTGAGCTGACTTACTATATCCCCTTAACACATGGATAAAACTGTTAATTTGAATAACTTTTTTTGGCTTAATAATTTACATACCTACGTACGGGATTTATTACAAACTACATAATACTAGAAAATGAAACTTGATATCTACAATTATATGTAAGTGTGAATGAAATGAAATATATTTATTTATTTGATGTAAGAAATTTTACGTGGTAGCACGAATCGGTCGACTCAACTGGGATAGTAGGACCACGCTCTCACAGAATACAAGCGTAAAATAGAAGCTTAATTCTGCTATGTTTCTTAGGTATAATGAGTGCACCTTTTACTGGTAAAGCATGCATCTTAGTTCTCAGGGGTAACATCTCATCCGTATTTTGATTCTAATTCGAGGATAGATGTAGATGTCTATGGGCCACGACATCCACTTGCCATCGAGTGGGCTGTGTGCCCTAAAAATAGGTGCTGCTTGTGACTGACTAACTTTCACAAGCAGCACCTATTTTTTTCCGAACCAGTAGTAAAAACAAATTACTTTCAATAATTATTCTTGTAATCTATTGAACAAAAATATTCTATTCTATTCCTATTTCTATATATTTGTAACCAATCACTGTACCTATAACGGCATTTAGGCACAATAAAATTAAGCTGTTGTGTTATCCCCGAAAAAAACCCAGCTATTATAGCTATTTTTATAATCTGTTAACATCGCGTCGTATTTTTTCGAATTAGTGAAAAGTCGATTTCGATTAGCAAGCTCAAAAAGCGGGGTGTAACTAGGTATTTATAAACAGCTTGCTCTAATTATTATTAAGTCTTTGTGATTCCGCCATCGGTTGTAAGGATTACGAAACTCTTTATCTGTTAGTATGTTAGTTTTAAATTAACGACTGCTTGCTTCATTCAACTGCAACATTATTATACAGATAAAAAATTTATCTTTACAAGTTATCTCTCAAAAGGTCCGTGAGGATTTTTATTAGTTTCGTGTATTTATCTTTTGTTGAGGAAGGTTCTTTAAACGTCCAATTATTATTGATGACCTTTTAATTGTTTCTGATAAGACCTATGTGATTGGATATGTCAAGTAATTATATGTATCGCTCATTAAAAATATTCACAGTGTATCGTAAGAGGCGACAGAGGGTAACAAGTAGGAGACGGGCGGCAGCGTCTTTCTTATAACAAATAAAAACGCCTGTAGCCTATCCGCCTGCTAATCGCGGCAACTTTAGCAAATATTACCATATAATGTCCTCCAGGCCGAATTTCGGTTACGGTGCGGCGGTCAGTCTCAACGGAGTCTAGTCAGGCAGGACAGAACAGAATTATACAAGCCCAAGTGTATGTGCAGACACAGGTGTACTCTCTATTCCTATCTCAGAGTCCGATGGGACGGCAATCCGACACGAACGAAGAGAGATCAGGCGCAGCACCTACGGCTTTACATGCTTCCCAGGTGCTGGGGTGAGACGCCGCCAACTTCCTGACTTCTGCTACTGAGAATTTCTTGCAGTAAAACTCGTAAAAAGGATGTTAAAAATATTTCATAATGAAATAACCGAAATATCAACGGCCCTCTAATTTTTTATAGTCAAAGCTAAAGACTTCGTAGCTACCACTGACTACCGCGATAACTCCGACATTATCGTTAATGGTTTTACGTCGGTTAACCGCCAGCGTACTGTCAAATTATAATGAATATTTTATTAGAATCTGGAATTAAAACCTCTGTTTGCGTAAGAATATAGATAAGTTTTGAAAAATAACGTGAGTTTAACGTAGTAGTTCCATGCTGCAGCTATAGTGTGGTTATGGTACGAATGGGTCGGCTCGACCGGGGAAGGCCGCTGTCACCGTACATACGTAAAGTAGCTGCTCAATGCTGCTGTTTTTCGTATGGTGAGTCTAGAGAACCGGAGACCACTTTTACTGGATACGAGATGTGCCGTCTCAGTCCTCAAGGGCTACAAGCATATGCATTTTAAATTGTAATGAAGGAGAAATGTAGTCTGTGGGCCGCAGTATCATCCACATACAATTAGGTGAACTGTGTGCTCGTTTTTCACCTTTCTTCTATAAAAAGCTAGCAAACTTTGTACGTGTAAGAGCCACGCTCCAGCTGTAATGTGACCTATGACTGCAGCTTGAATGGGGAAACACCATACTTTTTGCATAAAATACCATCGTAATATTAGTAGTAGCTTGATCTTTGTATTATGGGATAAAAAGTCTTAAGACGCATCTGCATTATACTAAATGCACAATAATTGATAGAATCAGGCGTTACTATGCGGAAATCCATTATAATAAAGATCCGCTGAGCCGAAGATACCGCGGTCAGCCGCCGTAGAGTCTATATCACCTGAGGATGCCTCCTGTTGTATTATCATCGTTGGTGTGTCTTTTCCTGAAATAGTGGTGTTGGGAGTAGTGGTGCTGGGTCTAGTGGTGACGGAATTAGTGCACTCAATTGAGGGAGGGCGGGAGGTGCTCTTCAACCCAGGTAAGACACATCATTGTATTTAGTTAGCGTAAGGTTGCAAATTAATCAATATCTTTATAATTAAATGCACAATGATCTTAGGAGATTGCTTAGCACTGAAATTCGTCAATATATTTCAACGTTATTGATTGCTATGTAGATAATTAAACTTTTACTAAATGATAAATAAAATTGTCTCCACATAATATCTCTGAAGTCAGTAGCGTAGTATATTGAAGAAATAAAACCCCGACTTCTGAAACTATTTTTTTAAGTTTGAAGTAGTATTGTACTTTTAATTTTAAAAAAAATTACCCCTCTTGGGTTTACCCTTTTAGAGGAGGAGAGAAAGAAAATCACAAGTTCAAAGTAATAAGGTCTTCAATGTAATCTAAATTGCTACATTAAAATCTTAATTCCCTATTTTTTCACCCTTACAGATCGATTTTCTTCAAAATATATGGGATCATCCCTAAATAATAAAATAATAATTATTGAAATCGGTTCAGCCATTTCTGAGAAATCGATGAATAAACATTAAAATCCTGAAGAAATCACACGGTTTTTTAACTCATATATAGTATTTAAAATAATTTGCAAGAAGAGCCAAATATACTGGCAGTTAGAGTGACCCATTTAAATTTGAAAAAAAAAACCACCTTTAAGTTTGGAAAAATAGAGGATAAAGTTTTAAAAGTAACTGTTATGACAACATTCTAGTTGTTACTTTGAGCTTATGGTATTATTTAGATCATTTAAAAGGGTAAAAAATTACCTTATAAGTAAAAGTAGACTTTTAAAAACTAAAAAGAATAAAAATCATTAGTTACAGCCTATTAAAGTCCACTACTGAACATAGGCCCCCCGGGGGAGGCTCCCTATAGATTGCCTCATAGAAGGGCTATTTGCCATAGTTGCCACGCTTTGCAAGCGGGTTGGCAACCGCAGTTTTATTTTTTATTTTTAGTCGTTATTAGGAAGATGCTGCTGCCCTTCTACTGATTTGTTTTCCTCAGTCGCCTCTCACGACACCCACGCGATGATATGTGGTCGTGGATATTCTTAAACCGCCACTACACGTTATACACAGCCACTATACGATAAAAATAATAAAAAAAAACTGTACGTAATTCTTCTGAAATTAGGTGCATGTGAGACATAGTGCATCGAAGAATCAAATTCTTTGATACATTGTCTTAGCATGTTAAATGTAAATTATTCTTTTTATGTCAGTCCTTTGATGTCAGTTTCACTATTTGTCAAAAGTGTAATTTTTGGTAATTCCTTGTTGGAATTACACTGTCCTTCATTGCAAGCAGTAGACCACTGGAGACACCAAGAGGTTTCATTTACATGTGAGAAGAAAGCAATACATGCCAGTAGGCTCGTTCTTCAAAAGGAGAAACAATTAATGGGAGATAAATAATTTGAAAAATGCTTTCTGTCTGTAGATGGAAAAAATCGCTTATTGCCATGATACGATTTTGTTGTGATTGGGGTAAAAAAATACTAAAATATTAAAGATTATTTGAAATCAGTCAAACTCTTTTTAAGTTAATGAACTTAAAAATTATATTGATTCAAATCTAAACATAGTGTGTCAGCAAAGTTTGAAAATGAAAAGGGCAGCAATATAGCAGTTCGAAGAATGTTATAGATTCCTATTGATCCTATGGTTTTAGCAACTTCTATGGAGCTGTGCGCTCAGACCTCGACTCCAGCGAAGCCGTCAAACCTCGAATGTCGATCATGCCGAACATGGCCGCTTTTTTACATTATGCGTTTGGTGGGATGTATTTTACAATACATAATTGTTTTCACTGACTACTGGTTTGAATTAATGACTAAAAGAAAATATTTTAAATGGAGTGATACACACATTCTGACTATCGTTATAGTTATAAATTGTGCATAAAACTTAATGATAAGTTGTTTGTTGTTCTGGTTTTTTGATTTTGAGTTCTGGAGATACTTTAATATTCCAAGAACATTCAGTCGATTTTATCCAGCTGCCACTGTCCAATATAGACACAAATGCAGCTTTCCACAGAGTGTGCAAGAGCTCATCTCCGCGATGACTAGCTGGTAGCTCGGTGAAGTAACCGCTAGGCATTGGCTTCCTGGGTTCACAGCCAAAAGGCTTATGTTGTAATTGTCACATTGTTTTAAAAACTACATGCACTACCTCCGATGTTTTTAGCCGACGGCAATAAAGTAAGGACGTTCTCAATTAAACTTTTTTGCCAGTATTTTACGCTATATCTTCGTCAATTGAGAACCTTTTTTGATGATTCTTTTTTTTAAAGTTTATAATTTATTTATGAATATTATTTAATAATTATTGATATATTAACCGTGTAGAATGTTGTAAGAATATCCACTACCGCATATCGCCCTGTTGCCAATTGAAAAAATTCCGCCTGTGAGGTCATTTATTTACATGAACATGAAATATCCGTTCATCAGTGTAGTTTTATAGGCAATGGCCCCATAAAAATTGGAAAAATTAAAGGGTGGCCAAACAGAGGATGAAATTTTTAAATATAAATATTTAAGTAAGCTCGAAAGGGTATAAAATAAACTCTTTATAAAGTCTTACGAAAGTCTGACCAGTGCGTCTGCCTGTATTCACATATGGTGCCGAAAAGTAACCAAGCGGGCAATGGATAGAGCTGGAGTTTTTCTGTTAGATAAGATTCGTAACGAAGAAATCCGCCGGAGAACCAAGGTCACCGACGTAGCCTTCCGTATTTGCAGGCTGAAGTGGCAATGGACTGGTCACAGAAGCGATAATCGTTGGGAGTAGGCGTGTATAGAGTGAGACCGCGTTTAGGTAAACGTAATGTTAGACCCCTGACTAAATGGAGCGACTAAAATGCGCACGGCGGCTGGCAGCAACTGGATGCGTGCAGCCGAAGATCGAGCTAAGTGGCGCGCCTTGGGAGAGGCATATGTGTGTACTGCCGCAGGCTGGTGATGAAAAAGTTACACTACAGTTGTGTTTTAGCACTCACCGACATCAGAGTGTAAAAATTATTTTATTATTTTTAGTTCTTTTAAATCGGCTTTTACTTGTTTCTAAAGTTAATTTACTTTTAATCGTTATGCTATTATGTCGGGCACGAGTAGATATCCTATTGACTTACTAGAATTTTCTGTTGTTTTATGGAGGCAAAATCGCCTACAAGCACGAGATATACGAGGGGCGTTCAATGTATTCTCGGTATGGTTATGTTAGAAAAAAAAAAACTTACGAAATATTTTTTTATTTTTCAACATAGTCTCCCATAATATCAATACTTACTTGTTCGTGGAAAAAGCTTTTCTATTCCCTTGGAAAAATATTTTTCGTCTTTGCCTGAAGAATGCGCATTTACAAAACTCATTATCGTCAGTAAGTTTGGGATTAAAACGTAGTCACTAGGGGCTGGATCTGGGCTGTATGTTGGGTGGTTATTTTCCTCAAACCCACAGCAGTCTTGGAGAGCCGCGCCGTGTGAACCGGTGTGTTCTCATGAAGAAGCAGCACTGCCTTGGTCAGCTTTCTTCTTCTTTCTTTTATTGCTTCTCTCAAACGGCGTAAAGTGGCTGAGTATTTGTCTGCGTTGATGGTTTCACCTTTTTTTTGTGTACTCGATCAATAGTATTCCTTTGGAATCCAAAAACACTGGCCATTATTTAACCTTGTGAGTGACTTTAAAGTTCTTGGGGAGGGAGGGGGGATCTGATTTAATTTTATGCTACTGCATAGACTTCTGTTTACTCTCAGGGTCATCGAAAATACTGGTTGGGTCGTCACCACACAATTATAAAAACTTCCTACAACAGTCAACCCGTGCCTGCGTTTGAGCACGTTCGCGGCACCCATCTTGAACAGATTTTTGTGAGGTTGAGATAGTTATGCAACATGGTGTATATGGTATGGTACCAATGGATAGGTTAGTCATACAAATTTATAACTTCCCGCTAAGAAAATTGAAAATTTTCAAAAATAGGGACGTTATTGGTTTCACACCAATTTTCGAAAATCGAATTTTCATCAGATCTCAACGTTTTGAGATCCCAGGAAGCTATTCTGACTAATTTCAAGTGGACATCCGTGCGGATGTATGTATGTATGTGTGTGTAAGTATGTAAACCTTTCATAACTTTTGAACGTTTTGATCAATTGAGATGCGGCGTTCCAAAGATCTCAATGTGGAATAGATTTGGTGATAATATGAACTGATTCGTACGAGTAGATTTTGAGAAATCTCAATAATAAAAAAAATTAAAAACTGTTTTTTTTTAATAACTTTAAACGGCTTTACTGATCGATTTCAAAAACTAATCAGCTCTTAACCTTAAAAAATTACGTCGAATACCGTTTGGAAAATAGAAATTGGTTCATTCGTTCGTGAGATATCGAAGGAGAAAGAATTTGAATAAAACGTTTTTTTGACATAACTTCGAGATTTCACAACATAATTTGGTGAAATTTGGAGCGCTTTGCATTTGAAATTAGCGGGAAGTTCCAAGGATGGCCTGCAGGGTCAACAAATGTTTTAATTATATGTAGGCCATTCAAACACTTGTTTCTTAGGCGATTCAAACTCGCAGTGCTGCATTCAAACGCTTAGTCACTGCGCTATCGTGTGTACCACAAGTTATTGCAGAATGATCTAGTGTTACGATAATAATAAAACATATCTAACCACCTTTTTTTTTACAGGTGTGTGAAGTATATAAACTGCACAGAGAGACGTTCCACTTAACCGTGGACTACGTAGATCGGTACTTGTCTAACACCGCTGACGTGCAGAAAGGCCGATTGCAACTCATAGGTAAGTTATTGAAATACAAACGTAAACACTCACGGGTGTCATCCGGAGGGGTAGGCTACGGGTAGGAGACTACGGACTTCCATTTGGTACAATCCTGACACACATACACATACATACTCGTCGGTTAAGGGTACTCTTATTCTGATTCATCTTCAAAATATCGAGAATTTGGTCGATAAATTTTCATCTAGGGCGTCCCATCCTGACTCTTTCGGTTCACTTCTGCAACAAATTTTTTTTGATATATAATCGATAAATTTATAATAACTCTTATTTAAATAGTAATCGATTAATGTAGTGTGTTTCGAATGGAATCTGGTGTGTTTCCTGATGTAATAAAACAGTACAGTATTACCTTTATTTAAATCTGATAGTACATTGGCCCCGCTAATTTTAGACCAATTTCTGTACTACCAAGTCTTAGTGATATTTTTGAAAAGAAAAATTTTGATCAATGGTAAATTAAAAAAAAATATTACTCCATAAAAATCTATTTGATTTCACAAGGGGTCGCTCGACGACTGACGCAGGTGTCGAGCTTATGAAATATATTCTTAGTGCCTGGGGAGGTCACAAGATGACTTAGGTATTTTTGTAATCTTTCCAAGACTTTCGACTGTGTTCATCATGAAATATTAATTAGGAAACTACAACATTACGGTGTTAAAATATATCTCTTAGACTTATTATTTTATGTTTAAATAACAGAACTCAAAAGTCGTTATCAATGGTAAAGGTTCCTCCGGATCATTAGTATCAATGGGCTTTCCTCAGGGCTCGATTCTTTGCCCATTTGTGTTCTCAGTCTATATTAATGACTTACCTTATCTTGTAGGGGACAATCACGATATAGTATTATTAGCTGATGACCTTTTTAATTTTCAAACTCAAACGACACTTAATTAATTTTGAGTGTGAATAATGCTGTATAGAAATTAGTAAATTGGTTTAACGCCAAAAATAATTTGCTTTTAGACGGCAATTAGACAAAATGTATTAAATTCACAATACCTAATGTTAAACATTCAAACACCAATGTGCTCTTAAATGGGGAAGAGTTGAGTCTTACGGATACCACTGTTTTTCTTGGTATTATTATTGACGTCAAGCTTCAATGGAGCCTCCATATATCTAAATTAGCAGGCAGACTTAGTTCTGCAGCATATGCTGTAAGAAAGATTAGAAGTAGAAGACTCACCAATATTGAGACAGCTAGATTAGTTTATTTTAGTTACTTTCTTAACGTAAAGTTTTATGTTGTAATGCGACTGACATTGAAGTCATAATTGTTTTGCAAAAGAGAGCCGGAGAAAATTTTAAAGAAATAAGCTAGACTCCACAGAATTTGTAATTCGTTTATGGGACAATGTAATGGCAATGCTTTTACAACAAAATCCCAAAAAATGTAAAAAATTGCCATTAAACAAGCTTTCATTTAAAAATTGCGTGTGTGCGAGTGCATATGCAAGTGCGCGTGCATGTGTGCGAGTGCGTATGCAAGCGCGCGTGCGTGTGTGCATGTGTGTGATTTCTCTATATTTCTGAATATTAAAAACATAATGTCAGTTATGTTTTAGTGATTATAATTTTTGTATCTGGTTAACAACTATCTCCATTACCATTATACTCATTAGAGTAGTTCATAAGAACACTTAATTTCAAGTCTAGACCAATATCAAATGTACATTGAAAAACACAATCGAGAAACTAATTCTGATACAATAAAAGCATAAAGATTGAGGAGAATATGCCCTCTTTTTTTCTCATGCTAATCAGGTAAATCTATTCAAAAATACCGAACTCAACTACGTAAAAACCGGTAATGAGGTACATCGTTAACAGTAACAAGTATAGACTAACATACTAGTTTACATTTGCCAGCTAACGCATTCAACATTAACAGTAATAAGTATAGACTAACATACTAGTTTACACGTAATGATTTCTTATATTTACGCGAACATTGCACATGATTAAAACTACTTTTACGGATTTTATCGCGGTTATTTTTTACTTTTTATTTTTTTTTTAATTCCCGACGTTTCGGGCGCTTTCCAGCACCCATGGTCACGGGGGACTGAGATGACTGACGTCCCGATGTCATTGTTAAACCCGACTGACCAAACTGACCAACCAACCATTACATCAGATTTGATAGACCACAAATCCTCGCGAAAGAACACCGATTCCTACCAAGGATGATACGTGAGGCTATTGAAATTAAAAAACATCCTAATTTCAATAGAGAAGGAGGCTGGGTACTACCACCTGCTTGGGATCCTATAATCAATAAAATTAAAACTAAACCCAAGCATACCACTGCAAGACCTCAGGACATAGTCAGTTCATTTTGCATAGATCGGACCATAAACAATAATTAAAAAAGCTGAAGGTACTCCGGGTTTAACAATGACATCGGGACGTCAGTCATCTCAGTCCCCCGTGACCATGGGTGCTGGAAAGCGCCCGAAACGTCGGGAATTAAAAATAAAAATAAAAAGTAAAAAATAAACGCGATAAAATCCGTAAAAGTAGTTTTAATCATACTAGTTTACATTTGCCAGCTAACGCATTTTTATAACACCTTATCTTATTACTTAAATAAACAATTTTTTGTATTTTTTTATAAATCCATAACAAAACTATAAAGTTTCTTTGCGTTGTTACAGGTATAACTTGTTTGTTCATCGCTGCTAAAGTGGAAGAGGTATATCCACCGAAGATCGGTGAATTCGCGTATGTGACAGACGGCGCGTGTACCACCGACGAGATCCTTTTAGAAGAATTGCTCATACTCAAAATACTATCGTGGAGTATCACACCAATCACGATCAACAGCTGGCTAAATATATACATGCAATTGGCGAGCGAAGCGCGCAGTGCGAAGTGTAGGTTGCTGGGTGAAAGTGACGTGGGTGCTAACGCTCTGAGAGGCTACACGTTCGTGTTCCCACAGTACTCGTCGCTGGAGTTTGTGGTATGCGGCCAACTGATAGACCTGGCGGTGCTGCATGTGGACGTGAATCAGTTCTCGTATAGTACTGTCGCTGCGGCGGCGATGGCCCACGCTTTCAACAAGGAGCTCGCTTTGAGGGTGTCGGGTACGTATTTTGTTTTGGTTTCGTACTATACATTGTGTTGTTATTTTAATTTTATTATTGACAATTACAACAAACCGTCAGAAAGAAATAGTTTTCTAACAATGTTTCTTAAATTAAGTAGCGCCTGTAGTTGTCGCGTAAATGAATCTACTAGTCTATATCATCCCGCGGGTGTCGTCAGAGCCGACTGAAGCTGACTAAAACAGGATATTCCTCATAATAATAAAATGCGGTTGCCAAACCGTTTGTCTGTGTTCAGCAGTGGAATTTTGGTAAGCTGTAAAATGAACCTGTGATGCCTGTATACTGAAAAATTTGCGTCAAAGTTTTTAGTCTGGGCTATCATAATTAAATGTACTAGATGAAATCATATATAATTACAGATGTAGTCGTTTTAATTTTCCATCTGTTGGCGGCATAAGTGAATTCATCGCCCCATATCTTTCTGTAGATGTCGTATTAAGGCTACTATGGAAAATGCTAGAAAAGTTATATGGTTTCCGATAGATGGCGATATACCATCTCGTTTATCCAGACTGCGATCGCCGATTTGTAGGCGTGACGACTAAGGTAAGAGAGCCTCTTGAAGATGTCGGGCGAGCACAGCGTGACTTACCATGAACCCCTTAGTAGATGTGCAGCCCGTCGAGCCCTGGACTGTTCCAATTCGGGGCCTTTCGGACCGCCTCAACTACGTCGCCCGCCGTTATGATGACGGGGTCCATGGGCGTAACATTCGTACATTTGTCACAATTTCTGTCCAAGGGCTGTCGCTGTGGTTTACGGGCTCTGATCATAGGCTGTGTAAGAATATGAATGTAAGGTGTCGGCGCAGATTCAGGAATCGATGTAGGGCCGATCCACGTACCATTGGTCGCTCCAATGAATTAAAGAGCCTCTTTTCATCACTCTGGGAGAGCGATTCTGGTTAAGCCGTGTTGGCCTCTCGGTACATCGAACCGGTACCGAATCCGCTTCTCCTAAGCAACTTTGGGTCTGCGCTCCATCAGTTTTTGCATTATATCCGGCTCGAATAAACTGACATTTATCCCAGCCTGGCCTTACATCCTGATTGTGCGCACAATCCTTGGCCTATTATTGCCTGACCTGAAGCATATCAGTGTGCCGATGAAGGCCCTAGCCTTTGCGATCCTTAATTCTTTTTTTTTCAAGCTGGGATGACGCTATTTTGTCTAGTTGCACGTCCAGCCTTTTGAAGCTTGACGCCAATAATACGGCAAACTGTCAGTGCGGCGCCAAAAAGAACTGAGTTCGTCTCGCAAAGATTCCGGCTGGCTTCCAAACAGGTCTCCAGCATTGAGTTGAGAGCCCTCACGACAGCCCGATCCCAGTTAGGGGATATGCGGGGAAGTCGCGATCAATTTTTGAGAGGCGTAATGCGCGTTCCCCTAGTCGCCTCTTCCAATATTCTTATTTGATCTTGTTCCTGGGCGACTATTCCATCATCGTCTCACTCAACTGCAAGATTTGCGGCAGCGGCCACGCATCGTAATATTTTCATCGGACTTTATTATTATTATTATAATATGGGTGTATCTGTATGTCAGGCTACAGCTGGGAGCAGCTGGCGGCGTGCCACGCGTGGCTGGGCGTGTGCGAGCGCGTGGTGCGTGCGGCGGGCGGCGTGTCGGTCGTTCGCGGCGGCGACGGCGAGCACGTGCAGCGCGCCGCCGGCCTGCGCCTCGTGTGCCCCGCGCTCAACCCCGACGAGAGCCACCGCATACAGTCGCACAACGTCACGCTCGACATGTTTGTGAGTACACACACGCACACCTCTCTACTCGCAGTACTCTACGGCGACGGCGAGCAAGTGCAGCGCGCCGCCGGCCTGCGCCTCGTGTGCCCCGCGCTCAACCCCGACGAGAGCCACCGCATACAGTCGCACAACGTCACGCTCGACATGTTTGTGAGTACACACACGCACACCTCTCTACTCGCAGTACTCTACGGCGACGGCGAGCACCTGCAGCGCGCTGCCGGCCTGCGCCTCGTGTGCCCCGCGCTCAACCCCGACGAGAGCCACCGCATACAGTCGCACAACGTCACGCTCGACATGTTTGTGAGTACACACACGCACACCTCTCTACTCGCAGTACTCTACGGCGACGGCGAGCAAGTGCAGCGCGCCGCCGGCCTGCGCCTCGTGTGCCCCGCGCTCAACCCCGACGAGAGCCACCGCATACAGTCGCACAACGTCACGCTCGACATGTTTGTGAGTACACACACGCACACCTCTCTACTCGCAGTACTCTACGGCGACGGCGAGCACTTGCAGCGCGCCGCCGGCCTGCGCCTCGTGTGCCCCGCGCTCAACCTGACGAGAGCCACCGCATACAGTCGCACAACGTCACGCTCGACATGTTTGTGAGTACACACACGCACACCTCTCTACTCGCAGTACTCTACGGCGACGGCGAGCGCCTGCAGCGCGCGGCCGGCCTGCGCCTCGTGTGCCCCGCGCTCAACCCCGACGAGAGCCACCGCATACAGTCGCACAACGTCACGCTCGACATGTTTGTGAGTACACACACGCACACCTCTCTACTCGCAGTACTCTACGGCGACGGCGAGCACGTGCAGCGCGCCGCCGGCCTGCGCCTCGTGTGCCCCGCGCTCAACCCCGACGAGAGCCACCGCATACAGTCGCACTTCGTCACCCTCGACATATTTAAAGTACGCACCTCTTGCATTACTCTGATAATATGTCAGAGTGCACCGCTCTTTATTCATATTATTACTCGTATAATACAGCACTGTCGTACAATGTAACCGTCGATATGTCTCTAAGTGCAACTTTTTGTTCTGTAATTAATCTATGAGACCGCATACAGTCGCAAAACGACACCCCCGACGTGCTTGTGATTGGAACTCTTATAACAATATGATGTAAACGCTGAGTAATGGCGGCGTAAGAGTATCTATTACCCCATATCATCCCGCGGACATCGCGGTATATGGGGTAGTGCATACCACATAGTGAGAGATGAAAGAAGATAACAGGTACAGATAGGCAACAGAATCATCTTAATAACAAACTAAAATATATTAAAAAACTACAGTTACAGACCCATCTGATAAGCATAGCAAATTCACCTAAGAGCCAATCTATGGGGGAGGCCTATGTTCAGCAATGAATTTTGATAGGCTGTAAAGATATCATTTTAAATCATCAGAGTACCCACTGGATGATGTGATGGACTAGAGACATATTCCTCACTGTGTCTGGCCTGCAATAATTTATTTAGTTATTCAATACAACAAAATAAACTTGCAGTACAGGATCAAATCGCTTATATGTTATACTAAACATGACATTGCATTTTATGAGATCACATATTTAAACTATTCAGATAAGCACATACTTCCTAATAACATCGACTTTGTCAAAAAATATATCGGCGTCTGGGTTTCTGTGTAAAAATCTATTGATTAAATTTATTGCTTTAGCGGTAGAGCTAATATGTAATGGCATGAGATAAGCTCCATGTTGGGGGGTAACGGAAAAGCCGGCGTTCAACTCCGCGCATATAATGATTAATGCGCGTAGCAGCAGATGTCCTGGAAATGTTATATTCCTCAGATATGCAAGTTTCCTGACTTTTCCTTCATCGGAGAGCAGTTCGTTAACCAACACTTAAATTTGTATACAATAAACAATACAGCAAACGTTTACCTTTTTTGTACTTGGTAGAGCCACGCTGCAGCTATATTATAGTTGTAGCACGAATGGGTCGGCTCGACCGGGGCAGGACCACGCTCTCACAGAATACCAGCGTAAAATAGCAGCTTGATACTGCCGCGTTTCGTTTGGTGAGTGTAGAGATCCGGAGACTCTTCTGAAGTAAAACTTCTTTACCCACGCTTGACTTGGGGAGTAAGCTGGCGAACGCGTGACGAAAGCGTTACGAAAAGTGTGATCGGGCGAGTCGAACGGGGGTTGAATGGGCAATGCGCGCGCACATTTTTTTCTCTCATAGCCAGTTATTTTTCGTAATTTTATTTCGTTTTGAACAATTTTATGAATTAATATTTTGTTCAATATATTAAATATTCTACGCTTAAAGTGAATAAAATTGTAAATTCATTTTAAAATTCATGCTTTGTCTAATCGAAGATAAACGTAGATGTGTATGGGCCCACAGCATCCACTTACCATCAGGTGGACTGTGTGCTCGTTTGCCACCCTTATTCTATAAAAAAGCTCCTGAGTCACTTGCTTAAACATATGATAAATATTATCACGAAACAAAAAACTTGAGACAAATTTTAAGTAGATGTTTTCATTTTTCAACAGGATCAAGTATATCAAGAACTTTTAGAAAACTCTGCATCTCAAACTAGCGTAGATGAACCGACATCCCAGGAGACCGAACACATTTACCCACCGACGCCTCCACAATCTGACCACAAGAGCCCTAAGACTCCAGCCACAAAAACACCCTCGACAAGGCATCTATCACCAGTACCTGATATAAGACTGCATTCGGAAATAGAGTGAAATGTGAAGTGCTAAAGTGTTGTAGTTGTATATGTAGTTGCCTTGGTAGACTTAGGTGTTTGTATTGAAATTGTAAGCCTGTCTGCTGAAAGAGTAGTAGATACCTCAGAATTGTAGAAAAAAAATCAATACTTTGTCATTAAGATCTGACAAGTAAAAAGACAAAAATCAGTATTGAGATAGACACTATTGTTAGTTCCAACAGTTTTAGTGGTGGTTTCAATCTCAATGATAACTTATTACAGTATCTGAAATGACTGGTTTGCAAAAGTATTGGTTATTTATTTAATACATATATTTAAAAATAAAAACTCAAATTTATCAACCTGAAGAAAGAATGTGTTACTTTAAAATATTGTTGCAATAATATACATGGCATAGAAAGCATAATGCTGTCTATTTTCAGTTTCTTTTCGTAAGAATGTTTATATACTCTTTAAAAAAAATTAGACTCGATTTCTTCATATATATTCTTGAAGTTACTTAAAATGTAATACTTTACATTTACAACATTCGTTGAATCCTTTTATATAACACAAACATTATCAGTTTTATATAATTGTAAGAGAAAAAGCAATAAAGCTGTGATTCTGAGAAAATTAAAATAACAAAATGCATGCGAGAGTGATTTTATTTGGTTTTGCAGCTTCTATTAACACACTAATACAAATGTTGTAGTGTTAAGTGTTCAATTAACAATATTTTCTTAGAATTATCAGCAAATTGTATTAGAACATCACCTTTTTATTATTCATATAATGCAGTTGTATTCTATTTGCTTCATATATTTTTCATTTACTATTAATGATATATCGATCATTTATATGGCTGTCAATCCAACTACAATTTTATTGTAAAACGTGACTTCTGGTTTTGAATTGTTGTGATATGTTCCTACTATAGTGTTTTATAATTCTACGTTCTTGTACTCACTTGAAATCTGATAAATGACCTATGAATAGGAGATGATTGATGTTATAACATTCCATATGTTTTACATTTTGTGTAAAACAACAATAACACGGACAATCTAAATATAAGTTCCGAGTGAACTGTATAGATTATTATTATAATGCGCAAATAACTATACAGCTAACAGTAATGTAAAATATGTTGTAGGTTGTTACTCTATCTAGCTTATTTTATTAGAAGTTATGTGTTATTTAATGTATTGCAAAACAATCATTTTCAATCAATATATTTTTGTGTAAGATAAGGCGTTACAGTCCAATTATTTGTGTTTCTTCAATATTTATGTAAGAAAACTTACGCATTATTTTGAATGATACATTTAATTTCGTTCTCTACAGTTTGTGTTTCATCCAGTTAATCGAAAATATCTAAGAGATGATCACAAACACATTACATTTATTTATTTATTATAAAATTAGCTTTGCTTGTCATTTTGCCAGAAATTTAATGGTTAAATAGAACTTTATAATTTATTACATATTTGTTTGGTAATGATTAGCAAATGTTCACGAGACTGATATCAAACCTAAAAACATAAATATTTATAGGGTTTCTAGTGAACTGAGGAAACTTCCTAGTGAACATTAAAGAAACTTTGAAGCTCTATTTTAGCCAAAGACTGCTTCATGCTGGACTGTGTGAGAAAAATTAATCCATGCAATGCAACTGAATTTATATACTTAATATTTTATATTTCAATGCATGTCTAAGTACAAAATTCCAGCATTTAAAAAAAATCACATTTAGAGTTTTTTTTTTCGTATTATTTATTTTATGCATGTTTTATTATCCATGCTGATTTAAATATCTGAAATAAAACGAATTATTCTAAGTTTTTTGACAATTACTTGTATTTAACTTGTGATTTATAAGTACATTGAGCCAATATAAAAATTAATATCTTTAAACTATCATATTATGTTTGTAGTATATGTTATAAATTTCCTAAGGTATAAAACAAAAGTATGAATTGTATATACGCATAATAATACGTAATATACAGTGACCCATTAAGTAGTGTTGACAAATCAAACTACGTTTGTTATATTTATTATTATTGTTAATTTACTGTACTGCAGATGTGATCTAGTGTGAGTATAAAAAATTATTTCACTTAATGTTAAATTGTTAATCCGTAAATAACCTTTACCATTACCCTTAAATTTGGAACTGAAACTTAAATGCAATTTTTTTGTTTGTAACTGTATTCATTATTTAGTTACGCTTGGTATTTTGTTTCCTACTATCATCATTAATCTTTATTCCAGGGCTTGAAAACTTGAAATATACTTGAATGGTGTACTGTTACTGTTACCAAGACCATTATAACTATGTATACAGTTATATAATTTAACGTTAATCAACGTGTTTAAAGAAAATATAAGTAATGTTGCACGTAATTTGATTAATAATTTTATTTTAATAGTTAACATTATAAAGCCGCTGCAAATTAACTTTTACGCAACATGCTTCTGCATGACAAGTGCAGTTAAAGAATGGGATTGAAAATGACGTCCCGCGCTCAAACACTGTCGCTATCTATACCCACACGCGCCGGTAAAGAATGCAAAAATTACGTTGTGATATAAATTTTTCTGACGTTTTATAAATTTAGTCCAAGTTGTAATTGGGATCAATGATAATAAAATGCCATAAACTACAAAAACAAATCGGTCCCGTTTCGCTAGTTTGTGGGCTACGACGAGTTCTAATTGATTTTGTTTGTTAATATTTTTGTATAAAATATTTATATGGTATTGAGACATGAGTAATTTTTAGAATTTCCATTAGTCTGTCCGAGCTAATCTTCGGAATGGCTGAATCTATTGTAATGAAACTTCACGATCTAATAGAGTAATATCAGGAATGATCTAGACTATATTTTAAGAAACAAAAACGTAAAATTTAGAGACTTTATTAATTGAAATATTCATATTCATAAGCTAAATTAAATGATCTTAAATGATTATCTTAAATCTAATTAACGCCACATTGATAGACAGGCGAAGCCGGGCGGGTCACTAGTTATAAATGTTATTTTAAAATTAATATACTCGCGTACACAATACTAAGAAATATTTTCCCATCAATACAAATTTTCCGATTAACCGAATAATATTATAACACAACGATATATCGTTATTAGCAGGTTTTCGCTATTGGTACTGTGCATGTTGACGGTACAGTCTCGATGAGCCGCCGGTTCTAATCCCATTTTTTATTCATATGGACAGTACATGTTGTTATAACAACTTACAAATTACAACTAATAAATACATTGGTGGCCGACTGGAGGTGACTTCTTCATTAACGACACTTTTTACGCAGTAACTTTATTTTTTGATAATTGGAATAAACTAATATCGTTTTTTCGTCGTTTCTAGTACGTACTACCGTTATAAAGATGATTAAATAAAAGTAATGTTATCAAGCCCTGCCATATACAATTAAACGATGGACGGATGTTTAAGAAGCTTCTCCAATAGTAGAATAAGTGAAGTAATCAGATAGCACTATCCTCTTGTTTATTTGATGTGCTCACTTCATTGTCATTTCTGTTGTCAGCCCGTTAGTTCACAGGTAGACATCGGAACCTCTTATAATTAGTATTATTCATTTGTTGTAATCCCAACGCTTAATGTATGAATTGATGGTCCTAGTACCCTGTTGTTAATTTGTACATAGCTTGTTTTCGACAACGATCTTTTCTCAACCAGCATAACACTACTTGCATTTGGCTATTGGTTTAGCTATCCTAGTTACAAATATCTAGTATTGGTAATGCTTTTCGTTGTAGGTGTGAATATGTAACATCTAGCATGTGAAATGTTATACGGATATCTATAGGTACAACATTGATTGGTGTATTCTTCGACTTCGTACATTATGCTGCTGAATTTATTTTCCTGTTTATATTTTAGTCATTTGAATGGCCATTTTGGTTAACGATTATCAGTAGAATAAAATCATTCATAATTAATATAGAAAAAGCATTGGTTTTTTAAAAAATAACTGAAAATTCAATCAACATATCCATATCAAATGAATCTGTGTATTAATGCAGGCTACCCCAAATCATCTTGTGGGTGTTGTAAAAGTGCTTTAGTTGTGCTTTACAAACTTAGCAATTAAGGCAAATATTTCCTTACGCTGTAATGAATCCTCCATAAGCTGTAATGAATCCTCCATATGCTGTAATGAATCCTCCATACGCTGTAATAAATGCATTAGTGTTTTTATTAGTTTGTTTGTGTATTTGCATGTGTGTCTGTATATCGTAACAGTTAATGTTTTCATCTGTTTAAATTATGGGTTTATTACTAGTTTATATATAGTGGTGTAGTTAACAGGTATAATATTATTATATACATATATTTATTATACTTTGCTTTTTGTTTTCAAATTGTGCATGTTGTTTCTGAAAAAGTAATTTTTTTTGCTAAATAATATCTAAAAACTATATCATATCTGCAGTGCTTATCAACCGCATTAAAATATCTAATGTGTGGAGAAAACACATTCTGTATATAAAAAAGTAAACCCAATTCATCATAGATAAATATCTGATCACACACATTTTGTATATTGTAAGTGCAAGTGTGTGCCTGCACCCAGCAAGGCATTTAGGTTTGTTTCCTTATTTTAGTGAATTGAAAAGTTTAATTAAGTCGAACGATTACGCTTATCTCTCAAGGTGGATGATGCCCACCTTATAAATAAGACTTAGATGGATTTTTTAATATCAAAAAATAATTTAACCATATTCTTTAGTGTTAGCTGCTTGTAGATTTAAGTTATTTTTATATCAATTTAATGAAAGCTAATATAAATACTAAATAAATATAAGTAGGATTTGTTTTTCAATTGTATTCCGTATAATTGAGGTGTGCGTGATCTCATGGGTAGTTTGGATGGGAGCCATACTAACATTGTATGTCGACACTTGTGCAATAAATATGCATCAACTTCGATCACATTTGAATGTCATGGCGTATAGTATTAAATAAAACTGTGTTGATGACTTATTT